TGCCCAAAGGAGGTTGGGGCAGAAATTAAGACCCAGGAGGTTGGGTCCCTTTGAGGTCATTCCAACAGGTCAACCCAGTGGCGTTCAGGCTCCGGTTACCCAACCACATGAAACTGCACCCAGTATTTCACAGGTCGTTACTGTCACCGTACGAAGGGGGACGAGAAGGGCTGGCCACTGGGACCGGGTCATAGAAGAAAGAGAATGCCGCAGCCATGTGGCAGAAATCCCCGACGCCAGGTGGAAGGGGGATCAGGTGGAGACGGTAGCGTGGGAAGGAGAACCGGAGTCAGAAAACACTTGGTAATGGCCGAAGATATTAATGACGAGGTATTGATAGAACGCTCCATCAAAGGTTCCTCAAGGAAACCTCAGCCTGTGGAGAGGTCCCGGAGGGAATACTTTGGGACCAATTGATGAAGGGGAGGAGCTGGAAGGATTCCTGGACTGGAAGGGGAAGGGAGATGGACTCTGAGGAGGAGGTGTACTTCGAGACCAGGAACCTGCAACAGGCTGAGAGAAGTGTTCTAGACATCGGAAGATGAAGGAAGTTCATCTGGGTTTTGCCTCCTCACCGGCCCGTAGAGGAGGGGGGCGAGAGGGGTGAAGGGGGCCCTGGAGGGGGAGGTGGATGTCAGGGAACCAAGCCATCGGACGGAAGGGAGGTGAAAGGCCTGGCACACAGGCCTGGGAGAGCACGGCAGCTGGAAGAGGGAACCAGCAGGAGGTGAAAGGGGCCTACACAGGCTGGGGGAGAGCACGCAGCAGCTGGAAGAGGAACCAGCAGGGGAGAGGAGCTGGAGCGAGGGATTGGGCCTGCAGACACTTCCAGCAAACAGTGGGGAGGCCTTCAGTGACCTCCTGTAAGAACACCACCCTCGCCGGAACCAGCCCCAGAGATTCCAGAAGACGTGTCGCTTAAGGAGCTTATGTTGGAAGCGATTACTAAAGCAAATCCACTGTCGGAATCTGCTAGTGACGGAGACAGGTCTGAGGGGCTCACACAGACAGAGG